GCAGGGTGTGGGGGTGTGGGGTGTGAGGGAGGGAGGCAGGGCGTGGGGAACCGCCACATACTCCCCTCATGGTGCACAGCCCCTGCCGCTGACAGCAGCAGCAGCAGCAGGCACTGTTGCTTGGCTGTGTGCAGCTCCAGCCAGTGCCGCATATGTGGCGAGGAATGTAGCCTGGCTAGTCCACCTCTACTGTGCTGGGCTTCCCGCGGAGCACATGCAGCTCCCACACTCACACACCACTGGGGGGAAGCCCCACACAATGGAGCCAGCTGCCTTCTCTGCTTCATGCCATGCAGGTCTCAGGACTCCACCGGATGTGGATGGAAGCCCTGATCCTTGCTTCCCAGCAGAGTCCCAGGACCTGTACAGCAGGGGATGGGGAAGGCAGCTGGCTCCATCACACAGGGCTTCCCCTGGTGGCAATTCAGAAGCTGCACATGAGCCATATGGAGCTCTGTGCAATAGAGGTGGGCCAGGCGAACTGCGCTCCTTGCCCCAACATGCAGCGCTGGCCGGAGCCATGTGCTGCCAGCTGCAGCACCTGCACTGGGCATGAGCACCCCAAGCACCCTCACCTGCTGCTGCTGTTACTGGTGCGGGCTGTGCACCATGGCAGGGGGGGGGGGGAGGGGTGTGTGGAGAGTATCCACACACCCCCCCGCCCAAGCTCCATGCTCCTGCTGCCCCTCTGGGTGCAGGCTCCATGCTGCCACCAACCCTAGCCCCGTGCTTGCTGCCTCCATGCAGCTGCAGCTCTCCCCTTGCTCCCACCCCTGCCACTTCCCTACCTGCTGCCTGGAGCAAGCGGGATGCCAGGGAAGCCAAGCAGCTCCCCCCAGTGGCTGTAGTATTGGCAACAGCAGCTGGGCTGAGCTTTTCCACGCACAAGGGCAGGAGCAAGGCACAATAAGGTAAGTTGGGGGGGTGTATATGTGGACTTCTTGCTCCCACCCTTGCAGGCAGATGGGGTAGAATTAGGGCTGGGTGGGGTACAATGAGTTAGTGGGTGGATGAAATTGCCTAGTGGGCCTATGGGCTGTATTTTGCCCACCCCTGCTATAAAGGCATATTTAGGGCTACAGAAGTAACATGTGCCCAATACCTATTAAATAACACTCCTTTATGAATACTTCCATAATTTATGGTTTTATTTCTGCATTTATTTTTTCTCAAGAATGCATGCTGGTATTTATTAGAATAATTTAACAATGAATAGAAAATAACCCAAGATGGAGTGAAAGAAGATCCAGTACATGACTGAACTTTTTAAACTGATAATTTAAATGACTGTTAAGTCTTACACATGCAAAGTACGCAGGACTAGCACCTCTATACTATTAAACAAAAACAGCCACTAAACTGCAGCATAAATAAATATTGCCATTCAAACAATACTTTTTTAGGATGGGCACCCTGCTCCATTTTTTTTTATTTTCCTTTTCCTAATCAGGTGTGCTAATTATTTTCAAAGGCTACTCAAGGAAAAAAAAGCCCTAATAAAATATATTAATTATTTCTGTTATTAAACATAACAATCCAACACTGGTTGCCTGGTAGTTTTAGAAATGAAAGTTCATTCTTAATTTTATTTTTTCTTTTCTGTTCTAGCTATAGCCATGAGGTCTATTTCTCTATCATCCCTAATTTATATATTATGTCCATGTTGGCACTGTTTTTCTGTACAAGAGAGATGGAGCAGACAGAAAACTTTTCAGAATAAGTTGGTATTACTCCTTAATTAGCTGCAAGAGTTCTTTTTATATTTTTGGGTTTTTTTCCAGAAACACTAGCTTCTTGCCCCTGCCAAAGGGACTGAGCATGCAATAGCACTTCAAATCTTTAGCTTAGGAAGCAAGCAACAGCTTGACTAGAACCAAACTCTTGAACATGGATTACTATTACTAATCCCTCTGGCTCACACTCAGAATATCCCATTTCAAATGCCAATTTCTAACTACTTATTTTAAGTACACAGTAACCAATATTTAGGTATTCGAAGGGAAATGAATTCTGTGCTGAATTTTATTTTATATTTGTCAGGATCCAAAACATCAGCTGCCCACTGTTGACTAGATAAGTATTAGGTAATATAGTGTAATTGTTTTAAACAAATATTTAGACAAGCAAAAAAACATAAGAAATAAATGTAAACAAAGCCACCATCATCATTGGTAGTCCCTCACAGTCAAGAACAATCTTCCAAGATTGCCTTATTCGCGGGTCCAAAGATGGTTGCACAAGGTCATTTCAGGATTGATAGGTTCTACTGCAAAATTGGGCACAAGTTTCAGTGTGGGGTGGGTGGCTCTGGATTCTTGGATCCGTCTGTGACATGCTGTTTCTGCCACTCCTGCTTTTCCATCTCCTGTTGTCATCGTGAAGTTTCAAAAGTACTGAGATGCTTGCAACAGACTTTTCCTCCATGTGGGGCAGTCCTGAGTAACAGTCTCTCATGAGTTAATGTTGATGTTGCATTACTTTAAGTTGGCCTTGAGGGCGTCCTTGAAGTGCTGTTGCTCTCCTCTTGAGCACACACCTTGACTGAACTGGGAGAATAAAACTTGCTTCAGGCGTCTGGAGTCCTCTTGAAGCAAGTTTTCAACATCATCTGGAAGACATCATGATGAAGTGGCTGGCCCAGCAAAGTTGATGCAAGATTATTATTGCCTCGAAGCTTATGGTGTTTGCTTGCAAGAAGATGCTAATGTTGGTGCGTCTGTCTTCCCACTGAACTTGAAGGATCTTCCACAGGTAGCACTGATGGTAGTTTTCCAATGACTTGAGGTATTTCCATATCCCAGCTCCGTACAGTAAGGTATGGATTATGACTGTTTGAAAAATCATGAGCTTTGGTTTTTAATCTTATGTTGCAATCTTTGAACACCCATTTCCTCAAGCTTCTTAAAGCTGTACTTGAACATCTGAGGCAATGTTGGTGTTCCTCGTCAATGTCAGCCTCCTGCAAAAGATGGCTTCCAAGGGATGGGAAATACTCAATATTCTCCAAAGTCTCACCATAAATCTGAATTACAGACCCGGGAACTGCTCATTAAGAACTTATTGATGGAGGACCTTAGTTTTCTGGTTGTTAAGTGTCAGTCCCATTTCTTGTAAACCTCAGTAAAAACATTGATGACTGCCTGAAGATCTGATTCTTAGTGAGTACACACCACAGCCTAATCAGCATACTGGAGCAGGATGATTGAGGTCAACATGGTCCTGGTTTTGGCTCAGAGTTGGCTGAGATTAACCAGTTTACCATGTTTTTGGTAGTTTAGCTTCACTCTGACTGGAACCCTGTTGATGGTCAGATGTAGCATCATGGTGAGGAATATTGAGAAGAATATTGGAGTGATGAAACTGCCTTGTTTAACTCCCATTTTAACCTCAAGCAGATGTTATAGATCTGTTGCAAAGAAAAACTGCCATATACTGTCATGGAGCAGCCAAAGAATGGTGATAGATTTCAGTAGACATCCATACCTCAAAAGAATCCTCCACAGTCCTTCTTGCCTGACAGAGTCAAAGGCTTTTCTGAGGTCAAAGAAGGCCATACAGAGAGGTTTATGTTGTTTCTGGTATCTTTCCTGTAGCTGACGAGCAGTGAAGGTCATGTTGGCTGTGCTACTTGATGCCTTATCATTCTACATCTTGATAGCTTTCCTCGCCTCGGCAAAGGTTGAAGATATGCTGAGATTGCCCCTGACTGGGTTTTGTGGGAAGGAGCTAAGAACACTTGTCAACAACAGAGTCTCAACTGAGAAGGTCTTCAAAATTCTCCTTCCAAAGTGTGTTGATGGCTCCCCTTTCCTTGATCAGATGTCCTCCATCCGTAGGTCTTAAGGAGGTTGGGTCCCTGAGTGCTTGGACTGTAGATGGCTTTGGTGGCTTTTGTTTTAAAAAAATATTTAGAAAAGCAAAAAACATAAGAAATAAATATAAACAAAACCACAAACTAAACGCAGGAACCTTAATACATTATGACAATATTGCATGTAAATTACCTTTGCACATACAAATGCCCCCACTATTCTTAGACTGATTAAAAATGACAATTAAAATTACATTTAAAAACTGAAATGCTTTCACTGTGCAAAAGGCAGCGTGTAAAATCTTTTGGGACATAAAATAATGTAGGCAGTCAAAGAAGATGGGAAGATTTCTCAGATTAGCTTCTGTATAAAGTTTTCAGTGCATTATGTATTAGACGAGAGAGAGAGAGAGGAGATATGCTTGCTAGAGAAAATGAAAATCATACTATATTGATTTACTGTGTCAGTTTTCACATTAAAACTCAAAAAGTACAGATTTACCATTACAATTGCCAATAAACATTCCTCATGTATATTAAAACTGGCATTTTGCTTATTAATTCTATCTGATTTCTTAGAACAAAATGAAAAAATGGTCATAGACATACTCAGTGTTTGCCAGCTTAATGATAGCTTTAGCCAGCAACATTGGCCAAAGTTCAATTTGACAGGTTGTAGCCGGAAGCAACAAATTATTCTCTTCATTGAAAGGCATAGTGTCATCCACAACGATCTTTCTCCAGCACCCCTATGAATGAGAAAGAAAAGAAACATTAAAATGATGGAATGAAAATGAAAACAGCTTATGTATGAAATATCTATACTCTCCCAAGAACCCAATCCTATTGTAGTTTGATTTATAGTACTGATGATTTTAATAAATAAGGAAAGTAACAGATTGCAATTTGAAACTCTACTAGGTGCAATCAGTATGATAGAAACTGAAGTCCTCTACTACCTTGGAAGACCTTTATATCTAATTAATTACAGTGCCACGAATAAGGCACTGCGTTCATGAATGCCGTCTGCCTTCATGAACGTAGTGCCTCTGGCGGCTCAGGGTCGGAGGGGCACGGCTGCACTGGGAACGGTGGGAGTGTGGCGGTGGCAGCGGAAGCACAGCAGCAGCAGTGGGAGCCCAGCTGTGGGAAGCACGGAGCTCCTAAGGAGCTCCTTTAAGTGTAATTAAGATGCATGTTCAGCATTCGCGAATATTTGAAACTGCAAATGTCAAACCCATGAATAGCGAGGGTTTTCGGTATTAATTTTCAAATAATTTGAATAAGGTTGTAATCTGGCATTTTTTCCCCCTCCACACACCAAACGTGCTTCAGCTAGACAAAAATTTTAAATATGTATATGCTTTTTTCATGCCTGTGTTCATATTTTAACATTTCTAACACATCCATAACTGGTTCTGAAATATAAGAACATGAGATTCATGGAAAACCCTTTATTGTAGAGGTGCACCGATAGAGGTTGAAAGTTTTGCTGATGTACTGACAAATGTGTCCAAACTAGAGGTGCACCAATACATCAGTCCACATTGTATTGGCAATCGGCTTTTTTTGGCTGATAATGTCAATGATAAATGCCAGGTGCATGTGCACAGCCACGGAATGCACGCAGACAACCTGGCAACACAGCCCAGCTAGGGCGGGGTGCAGGACAGCCATAAGTGTCTTGTGCAGGGGGGGCCCGGACAAGGAGGGGAGCCTCCCACTGCTCCACACACACCTGTGGGAGGTATGGGGGGCACATGCCCCACAGATTCATGCACGGGGAGAGGGCGGACTGCTGCTGTGGGCTGCACTGGGCTCTTCCCGGCAGGGAGGCTGGGTTGGGGCTGAGCTTGGGGCAGGCAGTAGCGCTGGGAATGGGCTACTGGGAGGCTAGATACATCCCAGAATTTGTCATAGCATCCCCGTAGCCCCTACCTCCCAGTGCCATCACTGCTGCCCGCCCTAAGCACAGCTTCGGCCCAGCCCCCACACTGAGAAGAGCCTGGCACGGCCCTGGCCCTAGTCCACAACAGCAGCCCGCCTTTGCCCTGCATGGGGGCACACATAAATTGTGTGCCCCCATACAGGCACACAGCCTGTATGGGGGCACACAATTTATGTGTGCCCCCATGCAGGGCAAAGGCGGGCTGCTGTTGTGGACTAGGGCCAGGGCCGTGGAGCTGCCTCCCCGCCCATGTCCTCTGGACGAGCCACTCATGGCTCCATCTCATACCCCACTCTGCCCCAGCTGTGCAGTGTCCGTCCCGGCCCCAGCCCCACTCCCTCTCACCACAGAGGCCTCGATCTGCCCCCCCATGCCCTTTCCCTCCCCTGCCCCTTCTCCCCAACAGACTTACCAGCCAGAGTTGCTCTCCAAGCTGCAGGGCTGCATACCAGTAATTGGATAAGGCCTGTTAATAATCGGTTATCAGTATCAGCCCAAAAAATCTTTATCAGTGCACCCCTACTTTATTGATCTGATTTTTTTTTTTAATACAGCAATCTAATTGCAGCTATTTTCCAAATGTATGCACAGATAATGTTGTTATTATATTTTTCAGCTTGGGAAAAAATAAATGCTCATTCAAGTAAGATACAGCCAGTACAAATGCCTCACAAAGGCCGCAGTCCTGGAAATATGTATGCATATACTTGATTTATAAATACAAGTAATCCTATAGCTTTTCAATAATGTTGTTTTTGTATCTGAAGCTAAAAATGTTAGTCATGTTACTGTAAGTTCTGTTCAAAGTGCCTAGATACTGTGGTGAAAGGTATGGTAATAAAAATCTATACTGAAATAGTAGATGTGTGCACCATTGTGGCTGTCCAAGGGCATTCAGAAATAAAATGACTCTAGCTACAATGTGGGTAAGAGTGCTGCCAGACTGGCAAATCTGGAATATACTGTGAACACAAGGTAAAACTATGCATTAATTACAATCAGCAGATTCAGCAAAAAGTGAGTTTAGATTCTCATGTACACATTTTATATATTCTTATATCTCATATATGTTCCCAAGATCATAGTCTAAATCAGATACAGAGAGGAAAAAAGATGCTGCTGGTTCTGTCAATTTCTGCAGGGATTTAGAGTGACCTACCATTATCACATCTGAGCTTCTTATCAAACTTCACATTTAATTTAGTATTATTAATGAAAGTCCAACCCCCTCTGGTTTTGTATTGACAGCCTCTAAAAATGAGGAGCATTTCAAAGTTTTAAATATTCATGTCAAAAAGTAGAACAGTAATTCTTCCCATTTTCATAATCGTGACCTTGTACACAGGACTATCAATGAACTTTTATAATTCAGAATTCAAGAGTAAGATGGGAAAAACATGTGAGGAAATATCAAGATAAGTATTGCAAAAATATATACTAGAGCATATGGAATAGGGCTGTGCGAAACAGCACCATTCTGTTTCGACTTCTGTTTCAATGTTTTGATGGGACAGTGTTTCGTTTTGAGTTTTGTTTTGTTTTGAAAGCACTGTTCCATTTCGTTTCATCGAAACTGTTTCAATGTTTCGCCCGTAGGCTACAATGGAAAGCATTAAACTGCCTATAACTTTGTCATTTCTTGCCTCATTCAGATGAAACTTACAGGGATGGTAGCCCCTTCTCAGGCCACGAAACCTGCCAAGTTTCAAGGACAGGGGTACAGGGGTTTCTGGGAAACTGCAGCCCAAGCTGCCGACAAGCAAAACTCGTGACATGGGTGACACTGTGTGTGTATTAAGGTGCGCCCTCACTGGCGCTGGGGCTTCTACATGACACAGTAGTGCGCTCCAATGAGGTCTCCTTCTCCCCTACAGCTTCATCCCAGTCCACCACTTTTAATGACAACAGGTAATAACTTAGTAAGCAGCACAGTAGCACCAGCAGCATCTCAGGCAGCCAAACTGTCACAGACTAGAGACTTTCTTTAAATTCCTGCAGGAGCTTCTTCTCCAGCAGCTGCCAGAGAACTCTCCCTGCCAGCCCCAGCCCTGGGGCTTAGATGTGCCCAGGGTCCTGTGTCCTCCCAGTCAGGTGCTAGGGGTGCTGGTTTAAGGATGTGGCACTGGCAAACAAGGTCCTTTGGGTCAATCTAATCTGGTATGTTTTAGCAGACCAATTGAAGACAGTTACAGAAATAAATCTTAGCAAGCTTTTGAGTTGAAAAACCCTTTGTCAGGCTGAGGAAGCACCTACAGTTGGTGCCTGATCCTGAAAGGGAATTTACAAACCATTTTTCACAGCTGAGCCTATGAACTGCGCTTCATCAGCCTCCTAGGTACAGAAACTCATGCACTCAATATAGATGTTGGAATTCTGACACACTACAACCTGCCAGACATCTGACTCCCCAGGCACCTCTCCACTTTTACCTGCACTGCTACATCCCCTCCCCCCACAGCCTGTCCCTCACCCCCTGATGCCTCCATTTCCATTTTCAGTGACTGACTTTCTTGTCTGCATTGCAGGCCAGCCTCTGGCTTCTCTACTATTCCTTCCATCCAGGAACAGCACACACACAACAACAACTGCAGGTGCTTCCTCATCCTGACGAAGAGTTTTTCAACCCGAAAGCTGGCATCCCAGGAAGCTAAGCTAAGCTCACCTGGCGAAACACAACTCCACTGCAACCAGTAAGCCTCACACCTGTCAAAGACATGACAGGTCTGGGCTTTTCCCAGCCAGCACTGTGTGCGTGCATGTGGTACCTGAAGGTTATAGCACCTCCTACCCACCTTTCACCAGGGGGATCCTCAGTCCTGGCATTTCCTACGGCTGCCAAGCCACCAGGAATCCCACAAGGCCTCCCCAACCCTGGCAGACTGCAGTTTTAGTAGTCATGACCAGGACCTGGGGCCTCCTCTTTCCCCATAGCCCCAGTCAATACCTCCAAGTTCATCCTGGCACGGAAGCTCAGCAGGGACATAGTTTCATAGTTGGAGGGTCGGAAGAGACCTGAGCAGATCATCAAGTCCAACCCCCTGTCACGGCAGGAAAGAGTACTGGGGTCAAACGACCCCGGCAAGGTGTTCATCCAGCCTCCTTTTAAAGACCCCCAGGGTAGAAGCCAGCACCACTTCTCT